CCCTTCCCCCTTTCCCTTTCAGACATCTATACACATCTTACTAGTTATCCTTTTAATTCCATAATAATGGTCTTATGCAGTATTTGTCCTTATTATGAGACTGAATTAGTTTACTAAATATACATTTTATAGTGGGGTACATGATGGGGTAAGACACAGAATAGGGCAACACTTTGTTGTCCATATTGTCATTATGAATTATAGTTAAAGGCACCTAGCTCTGGTGGCCTAGCGGCAAGAAGCTGCACTGCAATCCTGAAGGTACACAGTTTGAGGCCATGGGAGAAAGATGGGTATTCTCCTCCCGTGTAACTAGCTGCCTCTGAAAATGAGTTGAAGTGTCAGCTATGGGTCGATGCCAACCATGTGGTACACAGCAACAACAATGTGCATATTTACATTTTCCTCTTATTATAGATAGCTGTTTTAAGTAATTCAGTCAGTCTTTTTCTTTTTCCACATACAGCTCTGAAAAAATGTGCTTCTCTTGTTGTTGTTGCATGTCATTGAGTTAGAACCAACTCAAAGCTGAACCTTTAGTGAGTATTCAGAGAGAGTAAATCACCTGGGAGGAGACTGCCCATCTTTCTCCCACTGAGTGAATTAGATTCACTGGCAGATGGGAAATGTGTGCCTTTGGGTTGAGAGCTCAACTCCTTACCACTAAGCAACCAGAGCTATCTGAAAAGATACACAAAATTCAAATATGGAAGATAGCAATATGCAAACATCAAACAGAAGATTGACTTGTTCAGGGAGCTATTGTTGTGCCATCGATTTGGAACCGGCCCATAGCTGACCCTCTAGCAGGTTTTCAGAGGCAGTTAATCACATGAGAGGATGTTGCCCATCTTCCCTTGGAGCAGCTGGTGGATTTGAACCAAATGACTTCGGGATTGCAGCACAGCTTCTTACAACTAGGCCACCAGAATGAGTGGAGAGTGGTAATTCCCTAGAGAACTGAAAAATAAAACAACTCCCACCTTTCCATTTAGAGTTGGTTTTGATACTTCCAGTACTTTTTTTACATTTTTTGCTCACGTGATCTCCCCTTTTAATGGAGCAGTTGGTTGTTTTTTGCGGAAACACATGAAGTTAGAGATTTGCTGGGTTTGACACCTTATAGTCACTTTCGGTTTTGACCCAGTTGTGTGAAATTCAAGATCAGTGCTGCTGCTGCTGCTGCTGCTACAACACTGTGAATAACTAAAGTCAGCATTTCTATTTTTCCCATTTTGACATGAAATAATAGTATTCAGTAAAATGAGCTTGTGATTTGCAAGCTTTGTGGAAAGAAGGCGATGATGATGGAGAAAGTAAATTTGGTTAGTTAACTATCCTAATATGTCTGGACAGGGTGCAGCCAGAATGCTCTTTGGAGGCGAGGATGATAAAGCTTTACCCCACACACTTTGAGCATGTTGCTAGGCTGTTCCTTGGAGAGGTACATAACGCTCGGAAAGGTGGAGGGTCAGCAGAGGAGTGGAAGACCTTCCACCAGGTGGATTGACACAGTGACTGCTACAGTGGGCTCTAATGTGTCAGGAAGTGTGAGGATGGCATAGGATAGGATGGGGTTCAGATCTGTTGTTCATAGGTACCCTATGAGCCATGCTCAACTCAACAGCACCTAATAATAACAACAACAACAGTAGTTACTATCTTGGTGGTTTGGAGCTGCCTGTCCCATTGAGCTGATTCTGACTCATTGTTACCCTCTAAGAACCGTGTGCTGAAAATCACTTCTGTTAAGTTTGACTCATAATGACCCTCCATTTGAGTGTCAGAGGCTGTAAATCATTATGGGAGAAGACTGCCCCTCTCTCTCCTGAGGAGGGCTGGTGGATTTTATCCTGCAGGGCAGACTAAAGCTGCCCATATGGTGCTGTGGGCTGGCTTTGCTGGGGTTAATTGCTAGCTAGGCCTTTTCTCCTGCAGGCTGCTGGTGAGTTCAAACTGCTGACTTCAGTTAATAGCCAGGTGCTTAATCTTTGTGCCACCAGACCTTCTTATATTAAAGCTGTTATTGTTGTGTACCAGCGAGTCGGAACTGACCCATAGCTGACCCTCTGGCAGGTTTTCAGAGGCAGTTAATTGCACGAGAGGAGACTGGCCATCTTTCTGTGGAGCAGCTTGTGGGTTTAAACTGCATGCATATATATATTGTTGTTGTTATGTGCCATCAAGTCACCTCTGGGTCCCAGCAACCCGATGAATGATAGCTCTGAACCTGCCTGATCCTGAGCCAGCCTCACTGTCTCTGACACACTTGTCCACATTGTCGCAGTCTTTGAGTCAGAGCTATTTGTTCTTCAGAAGATGTTTAAAAGGTTCAAACTCTGACTATGGAGCGCAGGGTAGGAATATTGAAGTATAGCATTTGAAAGTAAAGACAAAGTAAAAAATAAAGGCTGGGATCTTTGAGAACACCTAGTATTGTACATGTCTATATGTGCTCTCAGATACCATTCTTGGTTGAGTTGTTTATTTTTCCTTGACTTTGTTAGACTCATAGTACCTGGTACTGTAATTTTTGTATGATACATGAATAAGGATGACAGAAGAATTGATACCTTTGAATTGGGGTGTTGGAGAAGAGTACGGCATAGCCTATGGAATGCCCAAAGAATTAACAGACATGTCTTAGAAAAAGTGTAGCCAGAGTTGGAGGCAAGGATGGTGAAGCTTTGTCTCTCATACTTTGAACATGTTGCTATGAGAGCCTGTTCATTGGAAAAGGGATGCTTGGAGCTTCGAAATCATGCTTGGAAAGATGGAGGGTCAGTGAAAGGGAGTTAGGCTCCAATGGGATGGATTTACACAGTGACAGCAATGGGCTTTAGTGGATCAGAGATGGTGAAGATGGCACAGGATAGGACAGGATTCAAATTTGTTTTTCATAGGGCTGCTATGAGCCGTACTAGACCGAGTGGCACCTAACAACAGCAGCATGCAAGACAGGATGGAACACTACCCATTCTCACAAATCGTGTCATCCTCGCAATCATTATTAGTAGCCATTGTGTCAGTTGTCACTGAATCAATTCTCAGTCATTATTTCAATGTATCTCCTTGATAATCTTCCTCTTTTGAGTTGATGTTACACTTTATCAAGCAAGCATGAAGCCCTTCTCTATGGACTAGATCCTCCTGATAATTTGTTCAAAGTGTATGAGACTGAGTCTTACTATCTTCACTATCAAGGAGCATTTTGACTGCACTTCCTCCAAGATCTATTTGTTTGTTCTTTGAGCAGTCCATGGTATATTTAATATTCTTCACCAATATCACAATTCAAAGGAATGAATTCTTGGTTTTCCTTTATCATTGTCCAGCTTTTGTGTGCATATGAATCAGTTGAAAATACTGTGACCCAGACCAAGCATACCCTAGTCCTCAGAACACCTTTGTTCCTCAGCAGCAGATACTCCAGATGAAAGATATCAGTTGAATGACTGCTCCTTCCCTGGGTGTGGATTGTGGATCTAAGTAAAATTAAATCCTTGACATCTTTAGTCTTTTATCTCTTCATCATGATGCAGTTACTGGTCCAGTCGTGAAGAGTTTAATTTTCGTGATGTTGAGGGGACATCTATACTGAAGGCTCTAGTCTTTGTTCTTTACTAGTAAATGCTTGAAGTCATCTTTTTCTGCAAGCAAAGTTGTGTCATCTACATGTGACAGCTTGTTAATGAGCCTTCCCCCAGTCACAATGCCATGCTCTTCTTCATACAGTTCAGCATCTAAGTTTATTTGCTCAGCATAAGGTTGAATAAATGTGGTGAAAGGATTCTAAAACCCCTTCCACCCAAATTGTTGGGTTAGAGAAGCAACAGCAGCAACAAAAACAAACTCATTGCCATTGAGTTGATTCTGGTTCATAGATCAGAGAAGAATTATGCCATAGGTTTTCTAAGAATGCAAATCTTTCTTCCATGGAGTGACAGTTGGGTTCAAACTCCCAACTTTCAGGTTCACAGTGGTTCCTTTAAGCACTGCCCTGCCAGGTCTCCCTTGGGTTATAGAAACTACCTAAAATAGGAAACGAAAAGGGTAGTGAAAAATGCCCATAAATACATTAAAGATTAAAGCAGTGGCTGGGTCCAGGGAAAGGAAGCGATCTTATGAATTAGTAATGAAAGTGCATTTACAGGTTTGGGTGTTATTGGGGCCTGAGTTTTAACAGCCGCTGGGAGTTTAAACTAATAGAAGCCTGAATAGCCTATAATAATCAGAGTGTTCATTCTGTTTATGGATTTGTTTCTTAATAGAAACACTGACTTGCACTGCCTATCTTAAATTACCTCAAAGAGTAGTTGTAAAAATGAAATAAGATAAGGTATGTAATTATGTTTTGTGAATGCATAAGGTTCTCTCTCACTCTTTGTGTGCACATATCTGTGTAATATAAAATTATATACTAAACTTAGTAGTAATTTTAAGAGTTCGTTGAGCTCCCCTGAATAGAATTTGTGATGATTTCAAAGTGTATCAGACTGAAAAAGTCAAGTTTGTATGAACAGCATTGAAAAAGTATTTAAGTCAAATAGAAGGCTAAGTATTTTAGAAGCAGATGGTATCACATATGCAACAAATCCACTAAAATATCATTTTTATTTATTATTTGATCAATTGCAAAGTCCTTTGCAGGTAACATACTAGCAGCACTCGGACCATTTATTTGGTTTTATTCTGTGTACATTATTGCAATCTGTACCTTTTAAAAGCCATTATGAAATGTAAATATTTTAGTAGCTATGTGGCCTCATCTAGGACCCTCTGGTGGTACAATCCCTAGCAAGTTTCCTGAAGCATCTATGCTTACATGTTGTCATTTAGAAACAATCCCATTTAGCTACTAACTGCTTACTAGGATTTTTAGCTAAAATGATTTCTCGTTGAGGTTCTGCTGGCCGATTGTTCTCCTAAAGAAGCATCATCAGCCTTATTGGAACACGATGTAATAAGTAAAACATACATTCTCTTTCCCTTATTTCCAGGCGTACTTCCGGCAGGGTGTTGCCCTCCAGTACCTCGGACGTCATGCCGATGCCCTGGCAGCTTTTGCATCTGGCCTGGCTCAGGACCCCAAGAGTCTCCAGCTTCTGGTGGGGATGGTAGAAGCTGCCATGAAATCTCCTATGCGAGGTAAATAGATCAGAAGTGCATGGTCTGACATTAAAGTAGAACCACAGGTTTGCATGGTTGGATGAGTGGAGGTGAGGGCGGAGTGGGGGGAGGTTGGAAATGGGATGGATCCAGGTGAAAAGACAGGGTACTGGTGGTCTAGGTCCAATTGTGATTCATTTTATAAAACATAATGTATGGGAATGATTATATGAAACACAATATGAATGAAGAATAGTGTGAAACAAAATATATACAAACTTTGTCAGCAAGCCAATAAAAAGAGAAAAGCAACAACAAAGTAGAACATCTGGAACCTTCCCTGAATCTAGACTTGGACAATCCCAGTTGACTATCTGATTTGTCAAAATCTGCCGTTTAGAGAACAAGAAGGTCAAGAATCACTGTTAATTGCTGAAGTTAATGATGCAGAATGGGGTGGTGGTAAGGCCTTTGGAAGTCAGTGGACCAGGATTCAATTCTTAAAATTTTGTGAACCAGTTTCTTGACCCTTCTAGACATGGGGACAAATCCTACTGTTTAAATATTTAGACACTCTGCATGTTGTTGTGTTTTTTTTTCTGAGTTCTAAGATCCCATAATTCTATATCACAACACCCATAATGTTAAGTTGTTGTGGCCAGGGTGGACTAAATGTACCATGTAGAAATAGACAAGTAAGAGAAGACATGGGTGGCGGGAGGAATCTCAAACCAAGCTTGTTCACCATTCACTTGGAGCTGATCCTGATTTGTGCACACCCTTTATGTTACAAAGAGGAACAGTTCCACAGCAGATGACCCCAACTTGGCTCTGCAGAGCTGTTGGGAGGGTTCAAACAGCCCGCCTTTAGGTTCGTAGTCCAGTGCACACCATCTGTATCACCCAAGGACCTTCAGAGAAGATAGTTCACATTCTAATATATTGTAAGAGGATATAGATCAAACTGTAGGCTTTGTCTGACATTCCCCCACCCACCCAGGAGCGCATGAAAAGATTCTGGTGGATTAAAAGAGAAGAGAAACAATCAACTAGATATTTTTTATTTATTTGTGTGTGTGTGTGTGTGTGTGTGTGTGAGTGTACTGTCAAATCAGATCTGACTGGTACAGGAGGAGATTGTTCCTCCTTTTCCCGACAGAGCATCTGGTGGATTCGAACCGTGTGCCTCTGGGATTGTAGTTGCAGCTCCTTGCCACTAGGCCGCCAGAGCTCCCCAACTAGATATTCTTTTACATTTGCTCTTCTTGTTATTACTTCAACCTTGTACAAATTGATGTTCTGCAAAGACAGTACTGTTCAGGTTGAAAGAGGTCTAAAGCTCAGAAGAGATTGCTTTTAAGGAGTGCACTCTTGGAAAGACTAGTATATCAGTTGCCACACTTCTGGAAAGATTGTTATATCAGTTGGCATCTTTAAGGAGCTCCGGTGGCCTTGTGGGTGAGCAGTTACATTGCTAACCCAAAGGGAGGCAGTTTGAATCCACAAGCTACTCCTCAGGAGGATGGGGATCAGTCTTCTCCCATGTGATTTACAGCCTCTGAAAGCCTGCGTGAGGGTCGGCTATGAGTCAGTTCTGACTCAATGGCATAAAACAGCAACAACAGCATAAATACTAAGGCAGATGCATGGCAGAGAGTTGACATTTTATGATGTTTCATATCATTTACTTACTTAATCATCTCATATTGTGTCAAACAGAACTCCCTTTTTGTCTCTGCAATGGTTATTTAATTTTTCATAAATGAGAGTGATTCCATGTTGTTTGATGGCCATGTCACTGCACATTTTATCCAGTTTTGAGAATACTTACTTGCAGGGCTGGATAGTTTGAATATAGTGACCAGTAGCATACTTAGCTCAGATTATATACCAAATAAAGCTTGGCGAACTAAATGGTGTTCATTTGAACAGTTTCTGGGCCATTCACTGCTATATATAAAAAAAATATTTTCCTAAAAATTGAAGATTTCATATTCTAGAAGAAAGTGGTAAGGAAACTGCTTTCGTGCAATTTTATAGCCTACATAGGCCGAGTCTTTCCTGGAGGAAACTAATGGAGTCTCCCACTGGGGGACCTGCTGTTAATAAATTCTGACGCGGAGCAGATGCACTCTGGAGCCTCAAGGCTTGAGGATGGAGGGCCGTGAACAACAACAACAAAGGGATCTGTTGCACCTTTTCATTTTTCTGGCATTTTCTCGTTCTTCTACCTCCCTCGGCTAGGAATTTATGCAGCACTCTTTTTCTTTTCTTTAAATTTAATATCTGAAGATACCACTTGTATATTTTAAGATCTTTCTGCCGCTGCCTTTAGAATACAGGAAGGAAAGTGTTTGGACCAGCAGACTCACGCTTCCCATTTTGTCTTCCGGGTGGTTGGTTCAGGTACATGTAAGCAAATCCCTTGAGAAACAGCTGTCACCTGAAGGCCTTGTGGGCTACATTCTTTCTCTCCCTGTGGTCAGTGACCTAAGGCCAGCCCTGGAGAAAGCAGCTCTACAATATTGCCTTTTCTTCCCAGAAGACACTTTGACATCTCTCTCTTATTTTTCAGCTTGCTTTTATGACTTTATCTTTCCTAGGTGAACTTCTCTGAGCAACATTTTCCACATTGCTTTTGTGCGACGTTATTCTGTGTGTCATCCCACACCTTAGTGACCTCTCTCCTCATCACTTGTAATGTCCAATATCCATCACCATCTGCTGTCCATTCTTGAACCCCAGCTTTGTTGAGCCCCTCCCCCTGTAGTTTTCTTATGTTCCATTGTTGGGGTACCCTGTGCATTTGGGGCCATTGTCCATGCAGGTTACATCTAAAGTCTTATTTGGCTTTATTTTCTAAGACTTAAATACAATTAACTTCCTGGTCCAGGATTCTAGCCCCCCTACTGTGCACAGTGTTTCTGGGGTCTGATCTTTGACACAATATTAAATATCACAAAGATGAAAGTATTTTCTGCTTTCACTTTTTGGAGGTTTGAAGGTTTTTTTTTTTCCTTTAAAGGCAAGGCCAACCTTTTATTAATATAGCCTTGATCCCTGGACATGTATGTATGATATCGTCCACCTTGGAAATCATGTGTTGTTTCTAACAGAATTAATTCTTTTTGGCTTTGTTTTTGTACAATCCCTCATGCCCACCAACCACATATCAGATGTCTTTTTTTTATGCTGGGAATATATTTACATCCCTATATCCCGAATTTCCCTTACCTTATTAATGAAAACCTAAAAAATCAGTGTAAAGTGATACTCTCTTAGCCATGGCTTAATTAATTTATCGTATCACTCGTCCCCATTTTGCTCTTTCAAATGGCCTTCCAGTTCACTGTAGCTAATAAATGTTTAAGCAAATTTGGATGCGGCAGCAGACTCCTGCTGCCAACAGTGGGTTTCCTAACACAATTACAAGCGGAGATTGGGTTTACCTTTATTTGTTCCTCCAAAGACGCCAGGACTGCTCCCCGCTTAGGGTTCTCCTGTGTGTATTTTTCTCTCCTGCTGTTAATTCCGTAATCTAAAGACTATTACATTTATGGGCTATCACCTGTCATGATGTTTCTCCCACTTCCAGAAAAAGCGTAGAAGCTGATTTATGAACTGCTGATGGAAAATGACTGTTGAGGGGCTGTGCTTTTCTGTGAGGGTGCAGTCAGCCTAACCTTTTCTTCTGCCGTCCACCGTCGAACTCTTTTCCTCTGCTTCTCTTTTGGGGTGGTCAGTCACTTTTCATAGGAGTCCCATTTTATTTTCTCTTCTGCAATGGCTTGTTGAGAAGAGAGGGTTGCAGTCCAAAAGCTGGGAACCGAATTCGGGCTCTGCTCTCTGCTGTTTTCAGTGACTGAGCAAGCTTGCCTCCCTCTCTCCCCACATGTCAGTCTGTATCTGTCAAAAGGAAGTGATAATATCTACCTCTGCATGTTGCCTTTCGAATCAAGCCCTACAATGGGAAGGCGGGTCACTCATCGGGGAGAGGCCCTTGTTCTTCCTGAGAGAGAGGTGGCTGCAGTATAAATCCCTCTTAGATTTATGGCAATGAAGGACGAAGGGCCTGGATTACAGCACAGTGCCATAACAACAAAAGACACAAAACAAACAAAAACCTCACAAAAACAACCCCCTTGGGAGCACTCCCTGCAGTATTTCTCCTGAGGATTGGGGTTTCCCCCCCTTTTTTTGTTTTGGTTTTTTTCTAAAAAGTTCCTGCATATTTTCAGGGGCTGGTTCTTGGATAAGGAGATCATACTTGGAAAGGTGGAGAATCAGTGAAAGGGGAAGGTTCTCAACAAGATGGACTGACACAGGGACTGTAACAATGCGTTCAAGAATATCAGAGATGATGAGTTTGGCACAGGACAGGGCAAGGTGCAGATCCATTGCAGATAGGGTTGCTAGGAGTCATAGTTGACTTGAGGGCACCTAACAACAGCACTAGGTTCCGGGAACTTTGGAGGTGCCCCTGTATCATTTTGCTTTGCCTGCTGTGAAGCTTCGAGCCACCTCTAAGAACTGGGTTAAGTCTTGGAGTCAGCCCGGCTGTGTGCTGTCTTACCCATGCTTGAAATCTGTTCCACACTTAGTCTGTATTTCAGACTTCTCCATTTCCCTGTGTAGTTTCCTTACATGGGGAAGAGAGCTGTTTTCTCAGATGTTGTTGTTTCCAGCCATAAGATTCTGGGAATGTTGAAAATGAGCATATAGACTAATCAGTAGTTAAAATGTAGACTCAGCCAAGATTGAGAGCTTTCTGTCCTTCCATTGTTGGGGGGACACTGTGTTATCATGGTACTTCAACTCCCACCCCTTGGCACTGTGTCAGGGATACCCTTTTACAGAGGTTTTTTCCATGGTTATTTTTCCTAGTCTTTTGGACTTAAAGGTTAGAATGATGTTTAGGATTGTATTTGAGAATAATTGACTTTTAAACAATCCTTCCAAGAGTCTCCTCAAGTTTTTAGGAATATTGAGGCCTTTTTTGGTCGTGTGTCCTAGGAATGATGTTAGCAAGATGAAGTAGA